GAGAGGAGAGAGAGAAAGAGAGGGGTGGGGGAGAGGCCGTGAGTGTTTTGAGTGGTGCCTTGATAGCAGGGGGGAGGGGTGGGGGTCAAGGAGGGGGGAGGGGGGGGACTACCCCGCCCCCCCTCCACCCAGATTGATCATTCACCGCAATTCGGGCAGCAGGGTCAACGCTACTGATTCATTCCCCACGCGGCGATGAATGAAACGTACGAATGAATTTCGCCTCCACGCCGAGCCTCGGAAATCACTCATCCCGACGACTCGGTTCCTGCCCGGTTCATTTAGTTCTGCAGATTGTATCCCTTGTTGCTACCATGCTGTTGTTGTTGTGGTGGTGGTAACGACGTGACGTTGTTACTCTGGTTATATTCATACAACAGACCGTGGTGAGGGTAGTGATGGTGCACGCGTGGTGTGTGGTGTGAGTGGGGAGCGGTGGTGTAGTGGTTAGCGCTACGCCGCGCTACGAACCTAGCGAACCGGGTTCGATTCCCGCTCACGGCCAACACCGGTGAGGATTATCTACACTGGTTCTGGGCCTCCCCTAGGTCGACTCAGCCTCAAATGAGTACCTGATGCGGTGTGTAAACATCGGTCGGGCGTGGTGCTGGCCACCCACCCCCTCGTGTGCCGTGCCTGGCTTTATGGGTGCTCGCTAACAGCACTTGGCCCTACAGTCTGTTGAGGCTATACGGGGGATCTTTGTCTTTGTGTGTGGCCCACGTGGTTTAAAACAGCTCGCCCATTCAAACATTCAGAATGAAATTGACAATCATCGGGCTTTTGCAGCGAGTAACTGAGTTAGCGGACATCTGTGAAAAAACAGCTTCATAGCTCATCGGATTCCTCCAGGATAGATAAAGATTCAGATTTAGATTTTGATTCTGAGCGTCATCAACATCACAGCATGAACATCTCGTCGTCATCGGGAACAGCACCGTCAACATTACCAGCAATACCACCATCACCAATACCACCATCACCATCACCAATACCACCATCACCAATACCACCATCACCAATACCACTATCACCAATACCACCATCACCAATACCACCATCACCAATACCACCATCACCAATACCACCATCACCAACAGTGCCATCACCAACACCACCAGCACTATTCGTTGCGCTAAACACCTTATCAATGGCGTGCGGTGGAGTAAAGTATAGGCGCTCCCACCACTCCCAAGACGTTCTGACCCGAGAGGAAGAGTAGGCCAAATTACCCTCGAGAGAGAGAGGTAAAGCGGAGGGCCCTTCCGCCAGCAGTAGCGTGAACAGGCACTTGCAGGGCTGCGCCTTCGGCTGCCACCTCGCCGGCCAAACCGTGACCCCTTAGGTACGGCCTCCCTCCTTCCCATCCTGCCAGCGCTCTCATCCTCACCTCACCCCTCTCCTCCCTCCCTCCCCATCCATCTCACCTGTAGCCCCCCCCCCCTCTCCTTCCTCCTCCCCTCACTCCACCCCCATTCGACCCCTTCGCCGTAGCTCAATCTGCACACCACTCCCCGTTTCCCTCCCTCACCTCCCCTCCCATCCATCCTCTCATCCTACCCTCGCTCTCCTGCGTCTCACCTGTACCTGCCCCCCTTCCCGCCCCACCTCACCCGTCCCTCCCCTCTACCCTCCCTGTCTCCCTCCCCATCTTACCTGCCCACCCCCTCTCCCTCCCACGTCTCCCCCACCCCCCCACCCCATCTCACCTGTGAGCGAGTGTCTTCAGACAGCGAGGAGGAAGACGCGGTCAGAAGAGATTGAGAGAGAGAGAGCGAGAGAGAGAGAGAGACACAGCTACACTCGCCTCTTCTCCACCACCACCTCCTTCGCCTCGTCCACCATTTCGTCCACCACCTCGTCCACCACGGATATACAACTTCAGTTCACCATCAATCTTTTTAGAAGGGCCATCGTTCCAAACGACGCCGAGTGTATGAGTATATTATATTGAGGGTAGTGTTCGGGACGAGTCGTAGCGGCGCTTTGTCGCTGGAAAATATTCACGCATTTCCTTTTGTTTTCAATTGCACGTGGTTCGAAAAGTCACGCCAACATCGTAAGGGTACTTTTTTTTGTTTCACATACTCGGCTTCGCAAGCTACCGCGAAGCGTACCCGTGTAGATTTGAACGTCTTAACATCGGCGCGGTGAAGTTTATTTACTTTTAATTTCTTACTTAGATGTTTGATTCTTTTTTTCATCAGCCGCGCATCTCTTCGATAGCTGATCGTTTTTGTTTGTTATTCGTTAAAAGTTGCAGGCACAGTTTGGGTGTGGGTGGAAGGAGGGGTTTGGGGGGGGGGGCGCTCAGTGGTTAGTTTAACTTTACCTGGTGGGGGGCACACACCTGTCAGACCACCCCACCTCCAACACCGCCACCACCACCACCCTCTCAAGGTGGTTGTGGTGGTGGTGGTGATTGTGGTAGTGCAAGTGGCTCTGGAATACCCTCCTCCTCCTCTTCCTCGCAGCATCATCGTCACCTTCGATTCTCTCCTTCCAAGTTCCTACAGGAATCACCTCGCTTAGTTCAAGAGACATATCGATCTCACTAACTCCTATCGATTACGACTTGAACTGTGCTGTTTGTTACTGGCCGCTTGGCCATCTTTCGACATTAGGCCTGCGCTCTGTAACTGAGATATTTTATATATATGAAGTCGTAGTGGTGGTGGTAGTGATTGGTGGTAGTGGTGGTGGTGGTAGTGGTTGTTGGTGTGGTTGGTGGTTGGTGGTGGTGGTAGTAGTTGGTGGTGGTTGGTGGTGGTGGTAGTGGTGGTGGTAGTGGTGGTGGTAGTGGTTGGTGGTTCGTGTGGTGGTAGTGGTTAGTGGTAGTGGTTCGTGGTGGTGGTAGTGGTGGTGGTGGAAGTGGTGGTGGTGGTGGTGGTAGTGGTGGTAGTGGTGGTAGTGGTTCGTGGTGGTGGTAGTGGTGGTGGTGGTAGTGGTGGTAGTGGTTGGTGGTGGTGGTAGTGGTGGTGGTAATGGTAGTGGTTCATGGTGGTGGTAGTGGTTGGTGGTAGTGGTTCGTGGTGGTGGTAGTGGTAGTGGTGGAAGTGGTGGTAGTGGTTGGTGGTGGTGGTAGTGGTAGTGGTGGTGGTGGTAGTGGTGGTGGTAGTGGTTCGTGGTGGTGGTAGTGGTGGTGGTAGTGGTTGGTGGTGGTAGTGGTTGGTGGTGGTGGTGGTAGTGGTGGTGGTAGTGGTTGGTGGTGCTGTGCGTGATCGTGGGGGTCGTGGTTCTGGTCGTCGTTTAAGTCGAGGTGGATTTCATTGTTGTTGATGTAGGAGTAGAGGCTGCGTAGTTAGTCCTTGGTGGTGGTGGTTGTGGTGGTGGTGGTAGTCGAGGGGGAGCAGAGGAAGTGGTTGGTAGTGGCAGTCGAGGTTGTGTGTGACCGGTAGACACAGGCAGCCGTTGTTTAAGGGCTCGCAATCGAGCAGTAATTGTTGTGGTTTGTAATAATTGGTGTTGTTATTGTAGTCGCGGTAAGTGTTGTGGTCGTAGTGGTGGTGGTGGGTTGCCGAAGTGATAGCCGTAGCTGAAGTGGTTGTTGTAGTGGTAGTAGTAGTTGTAGTAGCTGTAGTAGCTGTAGTTGGTGGTAGTAGTGGTAGCGATAGTTGCAGCGGTAGTAGCTGTAGTGGTGGTAGTGGTAATTGTAGTAGTAGCATCTGCAGTGTTGGTGATAGTTGTTGTAGTGGTAGTAGCTGCAGTGTTGGTGGTAGTTGTTGTAGTGGTAGTAGCTGTAGTAGTGGTGGTGGTAATTGTAGTGGTAGTAGCTTTAGTGTTGGTGGTAGTTGTTGTAGTGGTAGTAGCTGTAGTGGTGGTGGTGGTAATTATAGTGGTAGTAGCTTTAGTGGTGGTGATAGTTGTTGTAGTGGTAGTAGCTGTAGTGGTGGTGGTGGTAATTGTAGTGGTAGTAGCTTTAGTGGTGGTGATAGTTGTTGTAGTGGTAGTAGCTGCAGTGGTGGTGGTGGTAGCATATGCAGTGGTGGTGGTGGTAATTGTAGTAGTAGCATCTGCAGTGTTGGTGATAGTTGTTGTAGTGGTAGTAGCTGTAGTGGTGGTGGTAGTAGCTGCAATTGGTGGTGGTGGTGGTAGCGGCAGTTAGTTTCGAGTCACGATGTTTCGCCCGGGCTCTCTACTGCTGCCTTACTCCCCAGCTCTCTTTCCCTCTCCCTTCGCGTCCACCTCGATCTCGCCCGAGACGGCACGAGCTCTGGGATTCCTCGTGTCTCCACCACCGCACATCCACCACCACCACCATCCTCACCACGCACCTCACCACCCCCATCACCCACACCATCCACACCATCACCACCACCACCATCAGCAGCAGCAGCTTCAGCAGCAGCAGCAGCATCCGCTGTGCGCGTACCAAGCGGTGCTCGCCGGCTACGTGCCGCCCGAGTCGTGTAAGCAAGCCCTGCTGCTTGCGTCTCAAGCGGCCGGTCTGCAGGGGGTGACGGACTACGGTGAGTGGGTGGGTGAGTGAGTCGGTGGGTGGGTGAGTGAGTGGGTGAGTGAGTGGGTGGGTGAGTGAGTGGGTGGGTGAGTCAGTGGGTGAGTTGGTGGGTAGGTGGGTGGGTGAGTGGGTGAGCGAGTGAGTGGGTGGGTGGGTGGGTGAGTGGGTGTGTGAGTGAGTGAGCGGGTGAGTTGGTGGGTGAGTGAGTGTGTGAGTGTGTGAGTGAGTGAGCGGGTGAGTTGGTGGGTGAGTGAGTGGGTGAGTGAGTGGGTAGGTGAGTGGGTGAGTGAGTGGGTGAGTGGGTGAGTGAGTGGGTGAGTGAGTGGGTGAGTGAGTGAGTGGGTGGGTGAGTTGGTGGGTGAGTCAGTGGGTGAGTTGGTGGGTAGGTGGGTGGGTGAGTGGGTGAGCGAGTGAGTGAGTGGGTGGGTGGGGGTGAGTGGGTGTGTGAGTGAGTGAGCGGGTGAGTTGGTGGGTGAGTGAGTGTGTGAGTGTGTGAGTGAGTGAGCGGGTGAGTGGTGGGTGAGTTGGTGGGTGAATGAGTGTGTGAGTGTGTGAGTGAGTGAGCGGGTGAGTTGGTGGGTGAGTGAGTGGGTGAGTGAGTGGGTGGGTAGGTGAGTGGGTGAGTGAGTGGGTGAGTGGGTGAGTGAATGGGTGGGTAAGTGAGTGGGTGGGTGAGTGAGTTGGTGGGTTGGTGGGTGAGTGAGTGGGTGAGTGAGTGAGTGGGTGAGTTGGTGGGTAAGTGAGTGGGTGGGTGAGTGAGTGGGTGGGTGGGTGAATGAGTGGATGTGTGAGCGGGTGAGTGAGCGGGTGAGTTGGTGGGTAGGTGACGTGGGTGAGTAAGCGGGCGAGTTGGTGGATAGGTGAGTGGGTGAGTGAGTGGATGAGTAAGTGGGTGAGCGGGTGAGTTGGTGTGTAAGTGAGTGAGTGGGTGAGTGGGTGAGTGAGCGGGTGAGTTGGTGGGTAGGTGAGTGGGTGAGTGAGCGTTTGAGTTGGTGTGTAGGTGAGTGGATGAGTGAGTGAGAGGGTGAGTGAGTGAGAGGGTGAGTGATGATAGTGATGAAATGACGACAGCGGTGGAGTTGGTGGTGGATAATGTATTTTTGGTCTGCCTCTCATTGCTCGGTCACCACCTATTGCTTGTCTTAAGTTAAGCCCGATCATCATAACTTTAACCACTGTTCAATACACTGCGCTGTAACCTATCGTAATACGCAATGCATTACTTTTTATTTTATCTTTGCCGATTATTACAAATAGAATAACATAGCACGTCACGTATGCGCGCGCGTGTGTGTTTACATAAATACCAGTACTGGGGAGACAAAGGCGGCCGGGCGTGGTGTTAGCCACCCACCCTATCGTGTGCCGTGCCGGCCTTCATAGGTGGTGCTACTCGCGAACAGCACTTGCCCCCAAGAGCCTCGCGAGGCTATAGTGGGTGGGGGGGATCTTTGTCTTTTTTGTTGACGTAGCGACGCGATTGATAGCACTTAGCGACCATGCATCACGTGGTGGCTTCTGGTCATGCCCCTTGATGATGATGATGTTGTTGTTGATGATGTTGATGATGATGAGGTTGTTTTTGTTTACGGTTCGCCAAGCCGCGATCATTACTTTTACTGTCGTGAATTTATTTGAACAGCCTGCGCTCACAAGGTAACTGTGGGTTCTGTGAGTTTGAGTGTCTGTGTGAGTCTGTGGGTCTCTGTGTGAGTCTGCGGGTCTCTATGTGAGTCTATTTATGTCTATGTGAGTCTGTTTATGTCTATGTGAGTCTGTGGGTCTCTATGTGAGTCTGTGGGTCTCTGTGTGAGTCTGCGGGTCTCTATGTGAGTCTGTGGGTCTCTATGTGAGTCTGTGGGTCACTATGTGAGTCTACCGTTTGTATGTGAGTCTGTGGGTCTCTATGTGAGTCTATGGATCTCTATGTGAGTCTGTGGGTCTCTATGTGAGTCTGTGTGTCTCTATATGAGTGTGCGGGTCTTTATGTAAGTCTATGGTCTTTATGTGAGTCTGCGGGTCTCTATGTGAGTCTGCGGGTCTCTATGTAAGTCTGCGGGTCTCTATGTAAGTCTGTGGGTCTCTGTATGATGTAGGCATGCACCGTTAGCCCAAAGGAGGTGATACTGAGCCCTTCACTGAGCCAATTTTACCTGCACGGTATCCATGCCTGTAGCCTTCTGCATTGAGTTTATTTAGATTATTTTGTCCAAATGAAAAGTAACTTTCTAGATTTGAAGCTTTCGTGACTTGCAAGGATTCAAACTCTTAGGTATTTTTACCTACGTGACTTTACCGAAAAAACCTAAGAGTATGAATCCTTGCAGTCACGAAAGCTTCAAATCTATAAAGTGTCTTATCATTTAGACAAAATCATCTAAATAATCTCAATGCAGAGGGCTGCCGGCATGGATATCAATAACTGTACAGTTATTTTGCTGTGCCTTTTTTTACACCTGATGAAGGAAGCTTGTGTTGCCTCCGAAACGTCGTGATTTATAATTTTATTCCTACTTTTCTATAATTTGTATTATTTATTTTAATTTTTACTTACGTGACTTTACCGAAAAAACCTAAGAGTATAAGCCACTTTGTTGAGCTATCACTTAAATTTCGATTTAAAGCTTTCGTGACTGCAGGGATTCATCTTCTTGGCTCTTTCGGTAAAGTCACGTAGAATGGAAATAATAAAATAATAATAATAAAAATAATAAAATAATTCTCACGACGTTTCGGCCACAACGCAAGCAGCCGTCCTCAGGTGGAGAGCAGGTCTGTCGGAAAGACAGCGTCTGAATGACGGACCTGCTCTCCACCTGAGGACGGCTGCTTGCGTTGTGGCCGAAACGTCGTGAGAATTATTTTATAATGTTTTATTTTTATTATTTTATTATTTCCATTCTACGTGACTTTACCGAAAGAACCAAGAAGAGCTATCACTTGTGATGGGCCAGATCGCTTCTGTAAACAAATAAAAACTAAAGTTAATACATCAGTTGGGCTTTGCCTGCTCGTATGGGATGGTTTAGTTGCTGTGTTTGTTTGTGTTTGAGTGATTTGTTTATCTTTCTTGAACTCTGCACTCGGATCGTGGTTTTGTGTTGTTGTTGTTGTTGCAACCTTCTTACCCCGTACCCCTGCTGGACATCTGTGATAAAAAGAGCTTTATTGCTCATTGGATTCCTCCAGTATAAATCAATATTCTTATTCTGGGATTTTTCCATCGTTTTCCTTTTCCTTATTTTATCAATATTTGTCCTCTCTTTGCAGTACGTTTCTGAAAAGGTTATATTTTGTATAGTATTTATATTGTATAGTATTTATTTTGTATAGTATTTATTTTGTATAGTATTTATTTTGTATAGTATTTATTTTGTATAGTATTTATTTTGTATAGTATTCATATTGTATAGTATTTATTTTGTATATTATTTACATTGTATATTATTACTATGTTATAGTATTTATTTTGTATAGTATTTATTTTGTATAGTATTTACATTCTATAATATTTATTTTGTATAGTATTTATAATGTATAGTATTTATTTTGTATAGCATTTATTTTGTATAGTATTTACATGATATAGTATTTCTATTGTATAGTATTTATTTTGTATACTATTTATTTTGTATACTATTTATTTTGTAAAGTATTTACTTTACATAGTATTTTTATTGTATACTATTTATTTTGTATAGTATTTACATTATATAGTATTTCTTTTGCCTAACTTCGTGCGTGGCGCACTGAGATCCCTTTGGATGATTTGCGTCTTACGCATGTAAAGTATTACTATTAGTTTCTGTTTTATGACATCATATATTATTATTCTATGATATTTCTCCCCGCTTGTTTTTTTCTTCTTTCCTCGACCTTGCTGCTGTTTGATCCACCCAACTTGAGTGAATTCGTTTGTTGTTGTTATTTTTAAAAGGGCGCTTCTTGCTCACCCAAAAATACATTTTCACGGCCCGCAATTTGAGAATTCTGGGGCTGATCCCTCCCCGCCCCCTCTCTCCCGTACCCCCCCCTTGCACCCCCACCCCCCACCAATGTATAACAAACGCTTCAGTGAGAGAACCGTCAACCGTGGAGACAGAACCACCAAATCAGCTCGTGCGTGCGGCTGGTGCTAGGCGGATCGCGCCCTACAGGATCGTGTTCAGTCTCCTTTGCCGTCCGTCCCCTGTCCCCGCGCCTCCGACGAGCACGGCTGGCTACGTACGGTGCGAAAGAAGTTCAACGCGCATGCGCATTGCGCAACACATGGCGTACGGCTCGGGAGGGGGGGGGGAGGGAGGCCTTCATCCAGCAGTGGATGGACCATGGCCGCTGCGGCTGCTGACGTTGATGAGCAAGGTGGAACGCGGTTTCGCTAACTGTACGGTTCAACTTCTTTTGCACCGTACGTAGTGGCCAACCGTGATCATCGGAGGGGTGGAGGGTGGGGTGGGGAAGGCCAACAAACTAACCACACAAAAATCCGTTCTAAAGAAATGAGTTCGTCCATCTAGACGATTTAAAAGTGCGATTCAGCTCTTTAGGGATATAGTGCTGATCTTAAAGATGCATTGAAAAATGTTGACACTCCGACTGATGCTCCTGCTGTTGTGGAGTGACTCATGCAGCCAGCTATGAATGCAGGGTTTGGTGGTACATGTTGTTTATGTCGTTCATTGTGAAAATTCGGTCACAGCTCCTATGATCACTGTTTCATTGCTTTTATGGCTTTATTTTTGGTGATTTCGAAACGTTTTTTGGTTTGGCCATGTTTGTTTGTTGTAGTACAGAGTTAGACTGATGGCCTTAATCTAAGTTGTCTTGTGGTTGTTGTTGTTTGACTTGCATCCCACTGGGATTTCTGCACACAGTGTTTTTTTCTGCACACAGTGCTTTTTATGCAATATTTTGCTGTCTTTTCTTGGATTTTCGTGTTTGCACATAGTCACTTTCAGATGTTTTCTTGTTCATGTTTTTGTTTTTTTGTCTGTTGCGGTTGCACCCGAT